CTATTAAAAAAATAATGTAATTTATTTGATAATCAGTCCTCATCTCATTACCGATGAGATGAGGACTGATAATATACCCCCGGGAAATCTATATACATAAACAGGCGTACTTAATCTTCGAGTTAAATAACCTGAATATAATCACTCCTACATTGGCTGAGAAAGCGGTTAATAATCTACAAAATTACTTTATAAATTGACATTAAATGCAATTCCTTACAATTATATCTAACAACATTAAAAACATAATTATTAAAAAGGTAAGGCAATGACAAAAAAAGGGGTAAGCCTTGAAGACTATTCAGAGTAATTATAAAAGGTGCCAAATCCAGAAAGGCACCGACTCAAAACAAATATTTGAGTTTATAGATATAGGAATATTTCAGCTGATCCTATCCTAGCCAATAGTACGAACACTTAAGCTGGTCCCAGCCTAGCTAATATTACGAATATTAAATAGATCGGTTAAGCATTAATACTGATCACGCCGAATCAACTGCGCAACAGGCGGCTTAGTGTAATACCGTACCTGTTTTACGAGCCTCACGTTAGGCCTAGACTTTATATTAAAACTCATACTGCCGTACCAGCTTGATGAACAACATTCAAAAGATATCAAAACTTTACAGCCCACGAGTTATCGAGGACAGCTTGGTTAGAGGGTAAACATATAGTGCTAGGCTATATTTACGACTTGTGGAAACTGAAATTATAGTGTACAAATTTTAGATTCATCCGAGATTTAGTTCACCCGTTGATCGGTATTCAATTGAGCGGGGACGTGACACACAGACAGATAGACAGGCAGACAGGCAGACAGACAGACAGACAGACAGACAGACAGACAGACAGACAGACAGACAGACAGACAGACAGACAGACAGACAGACAGACAGAGGGGACGTGACAGACAGACAGGCAGACACACAGACCTGCACCAACCCCACAGGACAGGACGGAGCAGGTGGTGGTGCCCCTCCCTGCATGCCATCCTCGTTTAGACTTATTGTCATACCGGATGTACGCGTCGACATCCCTCCCGTTTTCTTTCTGAGCTCAAACTTTGATCGAGTACTATGACATGACAAAAAACCGGCTATGCATGTTGATATGACACTACTGATCGTAGACTTCTCGTCGTGGCACTACTGTCAGTATGTTTGTCGACATGACACCACTGTCAGTAAGTTTGTCGACATGATACCACTGTCAGAAAGTTTGTCGACATGACACCACTCTCGGGAAGCTTTTCGACATAGAACATCAATGACAGTAAGCTTGCCGGCAAAATACAAAATTGACAGTAAGCATGTCAGCATACGACATAACTGACAGCAAGCGTGTCAACATAATACATCATGATAGTAAGCTTGACTTTATAAAAATAATGTACATTTGCCATACTCACCTGCAGTCAATTGTACAGTATCTCAAAACTTTAATGATTACCATTCAAAATTGCCCTTAACTGAGGCACGATTGCAACATGCTTGTCTGAAGCTAAATAGATACAGTAAAATTAATAATGGTATGAGTCAATTTTACAAGGATTCCATCTCTCGTTTCCCAAAGAATCTTTAAGGATCTGACTATAACCTTTGATTGTTTGTAAGCAGCCTGAGAACAAAAATAAACCAAGATTTCCAAGAACGCTTCGAAGATGTGAGGCCAAGTGAAATATACACAAGTTTTTCCAACTATCATCACACTACCGTGCAAGAAGAGACACATATTTGTGGATTATTCACAAAACATTTTCCGACTATGTTATTACTTTTCGGTTGTTGCAGGCTCAGGGATTTTGCATTACCTGTTGATGTAGACTTAGCCAAACGTAAACTCAGGAAACCTATTTGCACACCCTGCATCACTATGATGGAATGCAAACAAAATGGAACATTTATAAATAACTATTATAAATGTTAAAAAAAATGTATAAATACTTCATGCAAAATTATATAATACAAAAAATCTTAATAATCCCAAGTTGCCTACCGAAGGTCAAGCATGCATGTGGCAGTAGTAAATTTTCCTCCACCTACTGGATGGGTGTGGGCTGCATGATAAGCAAATGAAAGATCATTCTAGTTGTCGGGGACAGGAAGCTTGTGTATATATAGCTTAGGCTTGTATCGAGGACCCTCCCTCCCCGATCGACCTACTGACCCTCCCAAGGATGCAACCCCATAATAGTTGCCTAAATCTCAGGTACCTATTAACTGCTATCTTGAGGTTATCTTCTTGAGATGATTTCGGGGCTTTTTAGTGTCCCTGCGGCCCGGTCCTCGACCAGGCCTCCACCCCCCAGGAAGCAGCCCGTGACAGCTGGCTAACACCCAGGTGCCTATTTTACTGTTAGGTAACAGGGGCATAGGGTGAAAGAAACTCTGCCCATTGTTTCTCACCGGCGCCCGGGATCGAACCCGGGACCACAGGATCACAAGTACAGTGTGCTGTCTGCTCGGCGACCGGCTAGGTGAAAGGAAACGCGCCCAACTATTTCTGTCCTGCCCAGGAATCTGAGTATCCCCAGTTGTGAGTCGAGAGCCTCCTGTACTTTGACCTTAATTCTTGCATCGCATGCAACAAGTTCACTACAAAATGAATTGTTGTATATAACCATCACTGGGCCCAGCACCCGAACCCATTACGTGACTAACATTTATGCTAATGGACTACTGGATAGGGTTCCATGATTAACTTAAAAAAACTCGTTCAAACCTCTCAGCATCTTTCCTTTTTATATACACAATGAAGTTTGTTGTTTTTATGCCCCAACTTAAAACAGGAGATAAGCGTTAAGATTGGTGAGAACACTATCAGACGCTCCTTGAAGAAGCGAAGAACGACATTTGAGCCTATGATCTACAGGCTACAGAGCCCATATTGCTGTGCCTGTGAAGGTGACGCTTCTATCTGGAATACAATAACATCACTTTCTCACTTTTTAACTCCTTTTGTTATAGATAAGATAGCGAGGAGAATGTGTAAGCATTTTGTAAGTGGGCAGGTGTGCATGCGTTCTTGGGCGTGGGTACGTCAACTTGTTCTTGCCCACGGGTAGGTTCACCTGTAATTGCGTGTGGGTAGGTTCACCTGTCCTCGCGGATGCGTAGGTTCACTTGTCCTTGTGCGTAAGTTGGTATGCCACGTGTTTGAGTAAATATTATATTTTCAATATTTTGTTTAAATCTTCGTTTACGCACTTGTGGTCAAATACCATCCTGTCTACTTGATAGCTGGCCATGTCGCTCATTGTTCCATAGTCAATTCTTCAAATCTTAAATATGAACTGGCCTTTTACTTAGCCTTGAGTGACGTTGCCAAATGTATCCGGTGGGCATAATTTTAATTAAATATATTGGGGAAGTGCACAGAATTTGGATATGAGATAAAATGTTAGTATAGGTTTGGGAAGGTGTAAGTTAGCTAAAGTTTGGTTAGGTTAAGTTAATTAGGTTAGGGAATGTAACATTTCCATTAGAATATAGAACTGCGTACTCGGCAACTTGTATGTAATGTCACTAACCTCTATTTTCGGGAATAAAAACTGGGTACGTCATTATGATATGATATCCTGTATTGAAATGCGTAGTACCCTAGTGACCTCGATATCACACACACTTATGATAAACAATTATGATTAATACTATCTATATCGAAGTATGCAGCTAAGATATCAATCCAGGAAATACAGTAAGAAATATTATTGATGTATAGATTCAAAGTTGAGTGTATTATTAAATGCATACCTTCGAGATTATAAAAAAAACAGCCTTGAAGAGTGCGTAGTCTCAAAATTTGGCACAATATGCGTATACACCTAGTGTATACGCATATTGCTATACACTACGTAGTGTATATACATACACTACGTAGTGTATATACATTCACTACGTAGTGTATATACATTCACTACGTAGTGTATATACATTCACTACGTAGTGTATATACATACACTACACGACCCCTTTCTTTGATAACATTAATTCGAATATCGCCTCCATGGAATATTATTCATGCAACGTAACTTAATAAACCCATTTTTACTGAAAATTTATGAATAATCTCCGGTGTCGACTAGTTAGCGTGGTGATGAAACCCCCAGGCCGGCCTCAGCGTGCAACAAGTCTACACAAAAGTTTACGCACATACCGGACCCAAGCGTATGACTTCGTCCGAAACTTCCTAACTTATAGAAATACAAAGAGACACAATTTAAATGCTGTTATTTGTATACAATTTAATTTGTACGTTGGTACTATGAACAAAAAAAACCCTGGAGCATTCATTGTGGGTCATGGCTGCTCCCACATCACTGTTTCCTGTTTGCTTCTAACGCAAACTTTGAGGGTTTTAATCTTCGCTTACGCACTCGCGCGCCATAAGTGTTGATTGTCAACTGATATACAAGTGTTACTGGCTACAATGAGAGGAACAACACCTATTGTCCCAGAATTTAGGATGTCACATTGAATATTTGATTAGAATGCCGTACGACAGTGTCTACACATCTACACCTACAATCCACGTCGCTGCCAGACGAAAACCTTGCACACACTGAAAGCTATGTTTTAAGTGTTTTCGTATCAGTGATTAGTATTAAATGTCGGCATACACAATCTAGCTTTAAAGCTGGAACTAACTAACCCCAGGAGAGCGTTTAAATAAATATTTTTGAGTGAAAAATAGTGATGAATGGTACGAAGGTGAAGTTTCATTCATATCCCCCCCACACACACACCTCCCCCGCCCTCTGCTTCAGCCTGTTATTCATTTTCAGGTAGTTGTCCAGGCATAACTATTGCACATGGCAGAGCTCCGAGTCACTACACGACACCTCCTAAGCCCTCCACGTATCCAATTTTAGCATCACTGCGGCATCAACACTCTTCCAGATGGGTGTATCGGGCCCCCCTACCCCACCACAACCACGCTTCGACAACCGGCAAATTTTAACCACGTTACCCAATCAGTTATCCACACCAGCATGTTCCTACCTCACCACACGCGGAGATCTCGTCGTATTGAGAGTAATCCCATCAGAATAGCGACGATAAACAGGAGGAGACGGGAGATATATGGAGTCCAAATGTGGATTGGAGCCTGCCTGGTGCTTCTCGTCTAGCTTGGCCCGACACTGTCCAAAGTTGCCAGCTTTAAGCACGTGGCACTCCTGGTATGCTTCATTTCGCGATAAATGCGTGGGAGTTCATCATGCTATCGCGGTGTCGGTGCGGGGTTGATGGAACTTTAGGTGCGCGTATTTGCTAGGTTAAATTGAAAGCCTTGTGTGTTTGTAGTGGCGATAAATATATTATATTAGGGACTGATGTCATCTCCTCCCCCACGTGGCCCGCATGCCGACAAAACTCACTGGTTATCGTTCTCTTCCCATTAGTGTGTGTTTTCTTCAGTTTATATATAAATTCCATTTATTTAGTCATTATGATACACTCATACTTCGTTTATTATCTTATTGTCGTGAATTTCGTTTTAACCATCAAAAGAAAGTGCGATTAGTTTTAACTTCAGAGAAATAATAACATGAGCGATCTATTAAAGAAAATAACGTTCATAAGAGACTGTGAATATCTGCCAACTGTTGCTTCCTAAGTCTGTCAAGCATATAACGTCCACGCCTTGAGTTGGTGTGATGTTTGCATGCTGGAGACACTGGTAGTGGACTGTACTCTACATACTGATGTAATTACTGACTGGTAGTATGCTAAAGAACTCAAATCATTTATTTGTATTTAGAGGAAGCAATTGGATCAGTGCAAGATATCTGTTTCATTGAAAAGTAATTTTCGATTCACTGAAACTAGGTTTCGATACTCTTATAATATTAAGTAATAATTGTATTCATACATTGGACAATTTCAAGTGGTTACATGGTGGGTAAAGTAATTGTTTATTATAAAAGACACTATTTAACTCTATTGAATGATGAGTAATATTACAATTAAAACTAAAGTGGCATTAAAAAAAAAAATCACATTTTAATATTTACCTGAGGGCCACTAAGACTCTAGTGGCATCGACGAGGACAGGAAGCCAGGGGCTTGTCAAAGGTACTCCCATTTGTCGTGAAGATTAATTTAAACCAACTTCATTCCTCATACAGGAAATTATATGTTTTTTGTGTGACGAAGCGAATGCGTAGTTGGGTCTGGTCAGTAATTAGATAAGTGCCTGCGCCAGACACTTCATCATAAGCCACGTTAGCTAATTGACCGATGATAAGCCTGACAGGCCTCCTATTCCTGACTATGTAGTGCCATTAAGAGCAGTAGATTGTGAGGCGACAGATAAGGAACACTCAGTAACATCACCGAATGACCTTTGGCCAAGGAGCCAATCCAAAACTGTTCAAGAAAATAATAACAATCTCGTTACTACTGATTTATAGCGTTGTTACACAGGGGAATGTATAGATTGTGCAACCCATTTGGTTCACTGAGTGGCTTAATTATCGCTACATTTGTTATAGTAATCAATACGTCTCTTTGAAATTTGCAGCCCGTCCTCATAAGCATATGCTAGTATAAATCCAGGAACAATGTCATAATTTGTACCTGGATTGTACCTGAATGAGGTTCTATGAGTTCTTCTACTCCCTAAGCCCGGTGCTGGGCAAGGCGTAACGTCAAACAGAAATATGTAATACACGATTAATTTTCTGTATTTGCACAGAAAATATGCTAACTATGCCAACTACTGAAAATACTTTGATATGATTGGTTTAATCTATGTTGATGATTTCATTAAATATGTTGATGATTGCATTGGACTATGTTAATGATTGCACTAGGCAATGTTAATGGTAGCATTATACTAAGCTAATGATTACATTATAATTATGTTAATATTACTCGTGGCGGGAAAAGAAATGTTTGAAGGCAAGAACAAGTTAGGAGAGTCTGAAAATAATGTTGACTTAAACGCGGTGACCAGGAACGTCGGTGACATTAAACCAGGGAGCAACTCGCGTTTACTGCCGGAAATGCGAGTCCCGGCGTGTCTAATCTAGTCTTGCTGTCTCATTTTAACGTGTCCAAGACTGTTTTGTTCAGGGTATGTCCAAATACGTTGTTCTGGTTTGGGTACGTCTGACCATCCCCCGAATGTTAAGGATACGTCTGAATGCCTCCACGACTGTTTTGGGTGCGTCTAAATGCATTAACAACTGTTTTGAGTACGTCTGAACATGTGCACAAATGTTTTGAGAATGCCTGAAGTTCAGGCATTCCCAAAACACTCCATTACATCATTAAATTGCTAGATCTAAATGGCTGAAAGTAGCGAGCTGACGGTCTAAAAGTAACGAATTTGCAATAAGAGCAGCCTAATTTATTGTTTAGTGACTGATACGGGTTTCAAAGTAACATATTTTGATATACAGAGTACACTACACGATTTTAATTGTTTTATTAATATTATCTCTGTATATATATTTAAAAAATATGATAATAAGATAACTTACCATCATTTGCTTTATGAAGCATAATGGGTGTGGAGTCCTTCCACCTCTTCACAGTTGAAGATTATCAAGAGGATCTTCGTCTGCATCCATAACCTCGTTCTTGTATATTGCAGACTCATATTTAAGCATTGACGTTCAAATGATGAGCAACAAGTTCCGTTTTCTTCAAGATATGTAATGATTCTCAAGATTGATGTCAAATGCTCAAGTCCCATTCTATTTCTCATTTTAGTTTTCTCAAATGTTACTCTCGAAAATACCCGTTCAACCAGGGCATTACTGCTTGGTAAGCTGTATATTTTCAATGCCAACTCAACGAGGTCAATCAGTATGGGATCGCCAGCAGCGTTCATAATAATTATTGCCTTGGCCCAAAATGACGATCCAGATGTTGGAATTTGTCCCTTGCAAATGTTGGGACAGTCAATGGTTAACAGTAGGCGCCACTGACTTTCAATATCACTAAGCTTAGATTGGTCAGCTAGTACTAATGGAAGTTCTGAAAATGGTGGCCGTTTGTGGCTAAGCCATATGCTAGGTGACAGATTTTTCACCTTTTTTAAAGTTTCAGTATTACATAGAATATGAGAAAGAAGCTATTTGTAAACTTTCACCAAAAAATTATGGCATCTTTCTTTAATATTTTGAAACTTTTCCTGAGTTATAAAATTGTTTTGTCTGTTAGGTGCCAGAAGTGTTGAAAATTTGTAAGCAAAGCTAACTTTCTCCAGAGGCAGATATATGGAATTGTAGTCCAAATTAACATGAAGCTTTGCATGATGAGGATGCACGATTCTTCTGAGCATTCCAAGAGTGAAGTTTTCTAAGACAGTGTGAAGGCTACACTGATCTGCTTCATCTTTTTGATGAAGTAAATTCATACTTTCAAAATCATTTAGGTTTGAGAAATGTGCGAAATAGCTTATTGGGGGGGGGGGATCAGAGTACATTGAAAATAGTTGCCATGCAACATATTTATCACAAGAGTAAGAAGCGATTTGGTAATGAGTTGTTAAAGAATTCCACTGATCTAACAGCCGCTTTACACTACGGCTCCTTGCCAACCATCGAGTTCCTGACAAAGGTATTAACTGTAAGGGATCTTTCCCATCATTTATCAATCTGTAAATTTCAAGATAACTTTCTTCCCTTAATGAAGATCTGTGGAACCAGACTGTAGCTTTTGGGATGAAGTGTTAATGACAAGTAAGGTTGGGGAAATCTATGGCCCCTGGGAAGGATTACCTTGCCTTGCGGTTACTTTTTTTTCGAAGGTTCCTAGGATCAACGACCCCTAGGGGGCCGGTCTCTGTCCAAGCCTCCTGCGGCAAGTGGTCTAGCCAATCAGGCTCTTTGACGCGGTTGTGATCTGTACACATTTCATTATAAAAGCATAAATAATCATTAATGAGTTTCTTAACATTAATAGCTCAAATTAGCCCAATTTGCTTTTAAATTAGCCCAAAAAGTCGCAAGTAGCGAAATTAAAAATTTGGGAGCGCGGGGCTCTCAAAAGTAGCCCAATTCGCTACTTGTAGCCCAATCTGGCAACCCTTTCCTGAACGCATCCACGATTTTAAAACACGCCTGAATTGAGCTTGTAAATGCGTCCATTGCTGGTTGTTGTCAATAGTAAGTGTGAACAAACATTACCGTTGTAGGTAAATGCGCTGAAATAGAATTAATATATACCTAAACAACGCAAGACTAAATATAAATCGCCGCACGTCCACCGTGAAGCGAAACTAGGCTACGAGAGTTGTGACGTACGAGGCTGTAATTATTTTCATTATCATGCAAGTACCTGTAACCCTTCAACTGTAGGAAACTAGTTCCTGAGTCCATTATATGTGACTGTAACCCTTCTTCACCGCCCAGGCGTCGATGGGTTTAGGTACAGATATATATAAACACCAAAACAAAAAGGGCGCTGCAAACATCATGGTATAGACAAAATAAATTAATCATTATCACAAATTGACAAACGTCAAATATGATTTGGTTTTGCGAATGATGTCCTCTTCAAGGACATCATTCGCAAAACCAAAGTACGTAACCAAAAACCAAAGTATTTTAAATACTGAATTTAGTTATAGTTATAGTTTATTATAGCTTATAGTTTATTGTGACAATAAAATACATCTCAAGGGGATAGAGTAGCTTAGGCTATTTCTACCCCCCATGATGTCCTGAATGCACAACATCTTTTACTCAATCGACCCCGGCGTAAAAATTGTGGTGGTTTAGGGAAATTAAAAACACAACACTATTGACGCATCCTGGGACAACTGAATATCGGCTCCGGCACGTTGGGTGGGTAGCCTACATTTTGACGCGTTTTGTTAACTAATGCGCAGCATTTGTTACGTAGGGAGCTGGTCGGCCGAGCAGACAGCACACTGGACTTGTGATCCTGTGGTCCTGGGTTCGATCCCAGGCGCCGGCGAGAAACAATGGGCAGAGTTTCTTTCACCCTATGTCCCTGTTACCTAGCAGTAAAATAGGTACCTAGGTGTTAGTCAGCTCTCACGGGCTGCTTCCTGGGGGTGGAGGCCTGGTCGAAGACCGGGCCGCGGGGACACTAAAAGCCCCGAAATCATCTCTAGATAACCTCTAGATAGAGGAAACCGAGAGAACGGACTCAACTACACGCGTACGCATCTAGGCAAA